CTCTTAACTGTTGTTCAAATTGCTGGCTAGACTGGTGGGAAATCACAAGAGAACATGGCTGGAAGAAGGGTCTTCTCTCAAGAGCATCTTGGAGGCTGAGGTAGGGAATAAATGCCTGTATGACATGGCTCTTTTAGATCTGCTCGGGAAGAGAGGTTGGTTATTGGTGACCAGTGCCTGGTGACCTGCCTCCTTAGTTGAGTAGTTTCTGTGCTGTGGCTTCAATGTGGTTTGCATGGGATCATTAAATAAACATGTGCTGAAATTTTGCATATTTCCTCAGCAAAATTTTATTATACCTCCATCAAGGAACAGGAGCGCCATACTTATTAAAATCAGTAGAATCCTGTATCCTTAGCTTGGTGGAGAGCAAGCACAAATATGCAGCCAGGGATGCTGTGTGAGGTGACCTGTTGGCCTGAGTCTGTCATGCTCTGTGGTCTCCAGTGGAACAGCAGCTGCAGGACTCTTATTTTTGTGATGTGAAGCATGTCTGGGTGTGTGGCAGAGGGAACTGAAATACACTCTGCTGACTTTTTATACCTTCATATTTTTTTTTCATTGCTCATTTTGGAAAAGGGAAGCCCTCACTGGGGCCAAATTAATGGGTTTTGCTCTAAATTAATTTCATTCCTCCCCTACACCCTAATGGCAACTGACTTCCAGTGATATGGAAAGGCAATATGGTGAACTTCTCAGCCCCCAAAGGGAGAGTTCCAATGAAGGCCAAGAGGTTCATGTTTAGGTGGACAGATTTTTCTGTGATGGGCAAAGGAATGCCCTGGGAGACTTAAAAGACCCTCAAACCACATGCTAAATAGCAAGAAACCTTCAGGCTTTAAGGCTATTCTATCTAGAGCTACAATTTGATCGGGGGATTATTAAAATTTCTATTTAATTCTACTTTGGGAAATTGGGCTTTCATCTTCTCTGCTGATGTATTTATTATTTCAATCTGCTCTTTTATTTTCTTTGGATAGTCTTTTTCATTGTTATTTTAAAACATTATTCTAATAATTCTTAAAAATTCTTTAAAATATTCCAGTTCAGCTTTCTTTTTTTTTTGGGGGGGGAAGGGGGGGTACCAGGAATTGAATTCAGGGGCACTCAAACACTGAGCCACATCCCCAGCCCTATTTTGTATTTTTTATAGAGACAACGTCTCACTGAGTTGCTTAGTGCCTTGCTTTTGCTGAGGCTGGCTTTGAACTTGTGATCCTCTTGCCCCTGAGCTTCTGGGATTACAGGCATGTGCCACTGTGCCTGGCTCAGCTGTTTAAAAGTTAGTTCAATTCGGGGATCCAGCAGCCCCAAGGTGAGGCAATCATGATTTCAGACAAACTTCTATTCCTCTTGCAAAGTTGTGTTTGTGGGCTCATTTCTCATACTGGTGGCAGTTAGAAGCACAATGTTTACTGTGGAATTAGGTCCATTGTTGCTCCACAGAGTTTGGTGTGAAAGGCACTTCACTTTTGGGCTCCCTTAGGAATTGTCCTGAGGCTTTGGATTCTGATATTTCACAAACACTTTGCACAGATGCTGTCGGAAGCAGCCTCACTCTTGTCTGCTCAGATAGAGTCAGTTACAGGATTCCTTGGCAGGTGGTTGCGGACACAGGAGTGGGCATCAGGCGACCTTGGGAGCTGTGGGACTTTGCAACTGTAATAGCAGGAGGCGGGGACTTAGAAATTGCTCTGCATACACTCTGTTGTTTCAGGGCACATCTGTTGACACTGGCTTCCAAGGAAGTCCAGGCATTAGAAGGCGATACTCTCTGCTGGCAGCACTTCCTCCAAACCCTCTTTGTTCATTGATTTAAAAACAACAGGAGGCAGGAAGCCCAAGATCCTGGAAGTGCCCAGCTGGTCTCTGTCCAGCCAAGTGTGTGGTGTGTCCCCTTCCTGGTAGGGAGTGAAACTTGGAGGCCTCTGGGCCCTTCCCCAGAACTGTATATGCAAATCAAAGTGGGGAGAGCAATGTACCTCTCTTTGATCTGGGCTGAGATGTGTGCATATGGGATGGAGCCTTTCTTGTCTCCTAGCTAAGGTTAGAGGGTGACCACAGTGTTCGGACCCCCTAGATAACTTCATACCCTGAATTTTTCACAAGTCCACAGTGCCTTAGTCTGCATTTTGTGCTGAAGGAATAGCTGGAAGTCCAGCTAGAAACAAGCATGGGTTGGATGACATGAGTGTGAACGATGCTGATGTGGCTGTGGTGACCCTGAGAAGGGGTAAGCAGAATATGGGAGAAGCAGGTATCCCTGCTGTTTGCCAAGTAAGGCCACACCTAGGTTCCATGAGCAGCATGGGGCATCAATATACAGATACAGACATGGCAAGTGGAGTTTATATGGGAGTGATACACCCAGAAAGAATGCTTGGGGTTAAAAAAATGTCACTAAGAATTGCCTAAGGACTGGGAAGTCATTCAGGTCTCCAGGACCTTCAGATGCTAAAAAAGGATATTACTACTAATGATAATATTAGTTCACATATATCAAATGTTTATCCCGTGCCAAATTCTATTGCAAGCACTTTACATGTTGTAGGGTTGTAGGATAATATTATCCAATTATCCTACAACATGCATACCATTATGATCCTCATCTCATGGAGAAGAAAGCTATAAATGGATGAATTGTGAGTTTCTTTAGAAAGTAATGTAAGGAAATATAGTTCTTCTTACCACAGACAGGTTCAGTAGAAGGAAAAGCTTTCTGACATTATAGTTCTCCAAAGGACAGTGGAAGGGATGGAAGGAAGAGAAGAAAAAAAACATGTATTAAGCATCTACCTTATGCCTGAGCCTGGCCTTGGTATCTCCCGTGAATCACTTCAGTTAATCCTTGCAATAATTGTATTAGGGATGGGTTATTATTTTCATTTTACAGATGAGGAAACTGAGGCCTAGAGTCATTAAATAAAACTGAAAATTTTCTAGCAGTAAGTAGCAACCTAGATTTGAATACCAGTGTTTTTGGCTCTCCCGTTCATTGCTGTTGCTTCTTAGAATCAAGGTGAAGGTGATTGGAGGCACAGATACTAGGCCAGCTTCTCCTGTTGTATACTCATATGTCAGCCTGAATTTCACAGGCTTTGGCCTTCATTCCGCTGGTAGCTGTTTTATTGCTTATATTCCTGACTAGACTGCAAGATGAACATGGTGCCCAGGAATTTGAAAGAGTGAATGAAGACCAGTACAGAACCCTTGTTATGACAAGAAAAGTTAAAATGAGGATAATTAATCTCCCGTTGGGATGTTATAGAGAGATTCTTCTGTTAAATCAGGGATGAATTATTGGTGATTCCAATCCCAGCATGTCTTCAGAATTACCAGAGGGATTTCTATCCATGTTGACTCTTAGGCCCACCCAGAATTAGATTCTCTGGGAGCAGGGGCCTGGCTATCAGATTTGGCATCACTCTGGTTGATTCTGCTACATGGTCAGGTGAGGGACCCCAGCTGATGTGTCTGAAGACTAGCCTGATGCACATCATCTATCCCTGGGCTTGCTTCCTTCTTGCTACCTGTGCCTAAGCTTCTCTGCCTACTGGGCTTTGAGGCAAGGCCAAGCTGATACCTACAGCCCAAAGGGAGGTCTTGTGCTGACTCAGGCCCAGGACCTTATCAGCTGAGTATTTGCTGAGCAAAGTTCAGCCAAGGCAGCACTCTGGATCCGGGTTTAGCAGCTACTCAGGCTTCCGGGCCTTTGATTCAGAGACCCGGTCCTTGGGGCCCTTATCAGTGAATAATAATGGGCCCCGTATGTGAGTCCTAAGGGTCAGCACTTCTCACCACTCTTGGCTGATCTAGGCCTGGCCTCCAAGGGTCCAGGGCCCCTAGACCACAGGCTGTCTGAGCAGGCACATTGTCACAGCATAGCCAGGATTACTTTTGGCTTGCTCTCCCTGGTTAAGATGAACCCTATGATCTGGCCCATATTTGGATTGGTCTTTTGGTTTCTTGTATTTGGGTTGGTGCTTTTAGTTTCTTTGATTACAAAGGTAGAGAAAACCTTTTAGCAGCAAGGAAAACCTGGTCCCAGGTTGTATAGTTCACCATTAGGTGTTTGTCCTATGTCCTGGGCGTTCCAGAGAACCTAGGTGCCACTTGCTATAGCCCATTAATTCTAAAGGTACTGAAGAGGTGAAGGAAAGATGAATGAAAGCACATTTTAAAAAATCACCAATTGATTAATCAACAAATAGCTACTGAACTCATTAGGGACATGCCACTTGAGAAGATATAGATAAATAAGGTGTAATAGCTCACCTTGGGAAGTTTATAATCTAGCTGTGGCATTAGAAATTTGTACCAAAAATAATATTATATGCAGATAAAAATTTCTTGAGTGCTTACTGTGTATCTGATTTTATTCAAAGCATATAGCTAATTTCTTATTTATTAGGTCAAGTGACTCCTCAGAATATTCTTTTGATAATAAATTCAGAGTCTCAGGGGCAGGATTCGAGGCCTGTGCCATTGGACTCAGAGTCCCAGATCTTTCTGCTGCCCTCTGCTGCCACGTATGATGAATACTAACCAGATCTGGGAATATTTGAGTTGTGGTTATAGAAATTCCATAGTTTATAGGGGTTGAAAGACGTAGGAGAGAATCTGCCCATGGTAAAACCTCAAGAGATGAGAAGGTAAGACATATAGGGACCATGCAGAGAAGAAGACAGACCTTCTGGTGGAATCAGAGTGTATGTAGCTGTTACTGCACAAAGTGGTTAGAAAAATGGTTCAGATCTCACTGTGAAGTCCTTTCATTTTAGACAGGGGGGTTGGGCATCAACTTCTGGGTGTGAAGGAGCCACAGAGGGCTTGAGGGCAGGAAGAGTGACAATACTGGGAGAAATATTCTAGGAAGTCTCATGTGGTCCTCGTGTTCAAGCACAACTTAGTAGAGTAGGCGGATCCTTGAGACAATGGGCACCTGGGTTTGGGGTTTGTCTGAGAAGGGCCACAGGTTCCAGTAACATTGCTTTCCACAGCCACAGCTCCAGAACAAGCTCCGGCCCCACCTCGGCCATACCAGGGTGTCCGAGTGAAGGAGCCCGTGAAGGAACTGCTGAGGAGGAAGCGTGGCCATGCCAGCAGCGGGGCAGCTGTTACACCTACTGCGGTGAGGGGGCCACATGGACAGTGTGTTTGTTGGGGGTCACAGAGGGTTGGGCAGGAGTGTACCCTTTGGGGGAAGGAAGGCAGGCAGTTACATGGGGATGTATAGGAGATGGACCTAGTTCCTTGGGGTGGGATGAGGGGCGGGGGGCCGGCTTGCTCAGCCCATTGAACAGAGAGAGCTGTTGATGAGGTCTCAGGAGGTGAATGACACACACCTTGGTGTGAGTTGGGAGTTCCTTCTGGGAAGAGAAAGGTGCCATTTCCCTAAATCACAGTATTCTTGCAAAATGGAAACACAAATCCCTCTAAATGGCTGGAGTGTTTTATTCTGATCAGGGAGAGTCATGCCTAAGCTTTCTACCCTGGATTCCCTGGATGGGTTCTCTGCATAGAACTGAGTGAAGATGGCTAAGCACCAGTCCTGTCCTGTCTTCTCCCTCTAGGTGGTGCTGCCCCATCAGCCCCTGGCGACCTACACCACAGTGGGTAAGAGCTCCCCACAGACAGCCCTGGTGTCCTTCAGTCCCCTCATCTGGGTGGCATGGGCAGTTCTATAATTTCCTTTCTCCCACAGGTCCCTCCTGCCTTGACATGGAAGTTTCTGCTTCTACAGTGACGGAGGAGGGGGCCCTATGTGCCGGCTGGCTTTCCCAACCTGCCCCGGCCACTCTCCAGCCCCTGACCCCATGGACACCCTACACTGAGTATGTGTCCCATGAAGCTGTCAGCTGCCCCTACTCAGCTGACATGTATGTGCAGCCCGTGTGTCCGAGCTACACGGTTGTGGGGCCCTCCTCAGTGCTGACCTACGCCTCCCCTCCTCTCATCACCAACGTCACGGTATGTCACACAAAACAGAGCTGTTCCTGCCTGCCTATGGCACCTGTTTAGAAGTAGGGCTTTCTGACCCCTGGTCTTCCTTGCTGTTGGTTCCCGGGATCATCAGGTCATCCAAGTCTACCATGTCCTCCAGGAGGCCTGCTCCTATTTTCGTTTACCTAACTATCTCCCATAAAGATACCTGTCTTGTCGTGCTTTTTGTTCCTTTTGTTTGGGGAGAGCTCCTGCTTCTGTCCTGAATCTCCCCAGCTGGCCTGTAAGCAGTGAGTCTTGGTGACAAAGTTTTTAGTGAATGGGATACCAGGTGGACTCTGTCTTTCAATTCTAATAACTAAGGGAGTGATTTGTTCAATGATTGTGGGAAGATTTCTAGGCTGAGCAAAAGATGACAGAACTTTTCAGAAAACTGTATTTTTGAGTCAGACCCAGCTATAGGGTATTTTTGTTGTCTTTTGAGCTCTCTCTCTAATGTCAGATTGCTTGTGTTCAAATCCCAGCCCTTATAAGCTGTATGTCCCTGGCTTACTAACTTGACTTGTGGGAGGCTTAGTGTCCTCATCTGTAAAATGGAAATACTAACAAGAGGGTGATTGTTGGGATGAAATAAAGTTATGCATGTGGAAGTCTTAGCACAGTTCCTGGCATACAGAAATCACTCAATACATGTTATTTACTGTCATCACATCAAAGTCTGCCAGCAATGTCAACCAACGCCCTCCTTCAACTGCCAGGCAGGAAAGGAAGGTCCTGCTCCCTGCCACTCCTGCCCCCAGGAATTGGGGAAGGCAGTCATAGTTTTGTGAATGGTGTGACATATGTGACCAAAGGAATGGGAGTCCCTCCAGTGTGCAGGAAAGAAAAGGCCGATAGTTGTAGGGGTACCCAGCTGAACTCCAGGGAAATTGGGAAGTAGAGCTGGGTTTCCTGAGCAGTCATAGAGGCGGAGCTTGTTTTGGTTCGCCATGACCCTTGGGTTCCCTGGAGGGTCTAGTGTCATCTGATACACCTGTTCCCTGCCTCTAAGCACCTTCCTGGGAAGGCTTCTGGAAGGCCCACCTGGCTATCCTTGACATGAAGGTCTCTGCTTCTACAGTGAGGGAGGAGGGGTCCCTGTGTGCTGGCTGGCTCCAGAGATGGAGATGTTTCAACACCTTCCTCAGGCAATTCATTTCCATATCAGGGGCTCTTGGCGGGGGACAAAGAGGGCAGGACATAATGGTTCCCAGCCATTTCATTACCAAGGATTCTTTTCTTTATTTATTCCCTTTCATGATCCCCACCTTCTTCTTTGAAATGTTCTGTGTAGCAAACAAACTGTATTTAGTAAGAAATAATTTATTTGTTTTGCTATTTTGTGAATTAACTCATCAAAGCTGGCTTGTGCTACCAGTCAGCACTCCTGATCAGCAGAGATAAGAACTGTATGGTGCTGGTTTGGTGTAATTCTACCCCTGCACAAGGAACCCTGCAGTTGCAATTGACCTATAGAAGTTGAGGACACAAAAATGAAGGATTTCCATTTGGATTTTTGAAGTAATGGAAATAATCAGGCTTTTCCAGATCCTGTCTAGTTTCAGGTTGCTGGATTGGGCTCATGAAGCTCATGTCACAAGAGATGAAGTGGCTGTGCACAGTGAAATGTGCACACCAGCCAGGATGTGGGGAGCTTCCAGCTCCAACATGCTATGGAAAAACACCCTAAAGCCTTGCTACTCAAACTGTGCTCCCTGGACCAGTTGCATTGGCATGGCCTAAGATCTGATTAGACATGCAGAACTCCAGACCCTTCTCTAGACCTCCTGGACCCAAATATGTGTTATAACAAGATTCCCCAGGAAGCTAGAAAAAAAAAAAAAAACTGTGTTCTAAAAGACTCCAGTAGTTTATAGTAGTTTCCACTGTGAAAGAATAGTAGGATCTAGATGCTGCCTCTGGCAGGCGGGATCTAGGTTTGTGAGATAGTCACTGTACAGGTGGGATTTTTGGTTCATGGAGCTCATGGGAGAATGGCCCTGGGCCTTGGAGCATCATGGGGCACCAGTGGTGCCATGGCTATTTGCAGCTCAGAAACTGGAGGAGAGGATGCAGGAGGCACAGGCAGCAGCAGAAAGGCCACATTCACTGACAGAGCAGTGCTTCCCCTACCACAGAATGGCTGGGCCTCCCAGGTCACCACTAGAAAGTGATACAGCTGTGTTGTTCACCCAGACCTCAGGAGGCCAGATCTGCTGTGTTGAGCCAGTGTGTCTGGGCAGGACAGTGGCCACCTCCAAGATACAGCTTCTGGGCTATGTGACAGCCTCATTCTTTAACATGTGTAATTCAGACTTTAAGATACATGTATTTTTCACATTTTAAGGTTTCTGAAATTGGGATGTATTTTATATTCAATGAAATCTAGAAAATCCTCTCTAATTTGCTCAACCCTATGACTTCATTACCAATTGTATCCCATTTAATAGATGAGAAAAATGGAGCTTCTGAGTTGGGAAGTAGCATGAGCAAGAACATGTAGCTAGTGACAGATGATGAATGCAATTTAAGTGTGTCTAGCTCTCCCTTGAGGGAGGTTTTGAGAAGGAGGAGGTAGAACCCCCTGAAGTGAGAAACAGGGAAGGGCAGAGTTAAAGGAAGAATTGGAGATTCTTGAGTCAAGGGTGGGCAGGTGGATGTGCCAGGGCTGCTAAACCTTGGTCCTGTGTTTCCTCATCACAGACAAGAAGCGCTGCCACACCCACGGTGGGACCCCAGCTGGAGGGCCCAGAGCACCAGGCGCCCCTCACCTATTTCCCGTGGGCTCAACCTCTTTCCACGCTGCCCACCTCCACCCTGCAGTACCAGCCTCCAGCCCCAACCCTGCCTGGACCTCAGTTTGTCCAGCTCCCCATCTCTATTCCTGAACCAGTCCTTCAGGACATGGATGACCCCAGGAGAGCCATCAGTTCCCTGACCATCGACAAGCTGCTCTTGGAGGAAGAAGATAGCAACACCTATGAGCTTAACCACACCCTCTCCGTGGAAGGCTTTTAGGGCTGGATCCCACTTGAGAGTCCTTTCCCCTGAAACTGGGATTTAAAAATAAGCTTGCAGTTGAGCTCAGATTCAAATCTGGAATAACCATTTTATAACATGACCATTTCATAACATCATATCAAAACATAACGTAACTACAGTTTTTACACGAAGCTAGAACTGTAGTCTTCCCTTTCTCCCTCCTTCTCTTTCTTATTTTTTTTTCCAGTCCTCTTCCTTTGGTAAGAGAAATTCAGGATATTAGGGATAATATTTTATGCCAAGTTTTGTCAATTCTGCAATTCACTTCGTTTCTATTTCTATCACTTCTCATTACTCAGGGATGTCCTTTTCTTTCCAGTGCCCTCTGCTGTGTCATAGCAGCAGCACTGTAGAACTGTCTTAGGGCCAGTTACACCCTCTGTCATTTTGAGATATATGGGTGCCCTGCGGGGAGACCAGCCTTGCCAGCACCTCCTGGGCGAGGCAGCCCAGGGCAAACCTGATGCCAGAGTCCTTGAGCTGTCAGTTCTCATAGTTGCTCCTTTGTTTGCTGTTCTCAGCCTTGGCCAGATTTACAGTCTAGGCAGCAAAGGCTCAAGGGCTGGGGCTCAGCATAGTGACAGATAGGGAAGGGAAAGGAACATCAGGTTGGGTAGGGGCAGGTCAGGGAAGGGAGAGAGGGCAGAAGAGGGCTGGGAACATACTTTGGGGTTGGGGTGGGGGTGTGGAAGGGGAAGCTGGGTCTTAGGGGGAGAGGAAGAAGGCTGAGGAGTCATTTAGCTCTAGCTTTCTTGATTTCTAAGAGGGACAGTGAATTCAGGAAAAATATTGCATTAAGAGTTAGTTTTGAAGCTCTTCTAGAGGATGTTTCCAAAGAAAGCCGAGTTGTCATAAACAGAAGGATGGATGTGTTTTGTGTCCCTTTCCAGATACTCTGCCATACCCCATGAAGCCTATTGGCAAGGGGTCCTGCTTAGTGATGTTATGTGGATTTTCTAAATGTCTTAGGGCATCTATAAGCCACCATTATGAGGAGCCAGGGCTTCTTCCTTCCAAGCACCATCCTTCCTGGGGGTTTCTAGAGCCTTAGCCAGAAGTACCATTAGGTTTTATTTCAATTTTTCTTTTATATCATTGCAGGGGACTGAGTACAATTGTTGCCAGGGTGCTTAGCTCCTGATGGTGGATGTGTGCCTTGGGAGCCAGCACAATCGTCTGCTGATGACACCATTAGGCAGTCACTTTAGTCAGCAGAATCCACATAGAAGTAATATGGGAGGGAGAAGGGGAATTGCACGGAAGATGGAAGGAGACCCTCATCGTTATACAAAATACATATATGATGGTGTGAGGAGGAAGGAAAAAAAAGAGAGAAATATGTCATAGTAGATTGGGTAGAGAGAGGTGATGGGAGGGGAGGGAAGGGGAGGGGGGATAGGGAGGGCAGTAGAATACAACAGACACTAGTATTGCTGTATGTATAAATGTGGCTGTATAACCAATGTGATCCTGCCATCTGTACATGTGGAAAAATGAGAATTCATACACCATTTGAATCAAATGTATGATATGTCAAGATTATTGTATTGTCTTGAGCAACTAATTAAAAAAAAAGAAGTAATAGACTGCTGGGAAATGAACAATTTCTTTGACACATTTTCTTTGCCATTCTAAATAAAAACTCTGGACAAAGTTGCCTTTCTTTTTTTAGAAGTTTTTTCCTGTTTGGGTTATATTTTAACCCAAATTCTTGGTATCTGCTTAAAACCCCAGTACACATATTTTGAATTATTTTTATTCAGACTTAATGTTTAATTTTAAAAGCTTGATACAGCAACGTAGATGATAAATGTACATCTCGATTGACAGTATGTGATCAGGCAAGGGAGAGGAGAGGTCCCAATCCTGTTGGATTAAACCCCTGGTTCCCCATAGAAATCTATGCAAGATTTTCCAACTCTTTGAGGATTTGAGAGGATGCAGAAACAACCTTTACAAAGGAACTAAAGTTGGCAAAGAAAATATGTAGTTGTTAGGATTGAAATTGTATCTTTCCCCCTTCTTATCTTGAGGCCCAATGGCTTGTTTGTAATCATCCATTTAGGTTTCTTTCTGGGTTATTCTGCTAAGATGGAAACATTTTCAATAAAGATTTATGGAGTCATTTCTGCACCAAAGTGTTTTATTTCTTATAAAATTAATCCCCCCTTAGTTTTCAGTCTCCCAATGGCAGTGCCATTAGAGGATTTGGCAAAGTGATCTGTTGCAAGAGGAGATAAAAACCCATCGCTGCTGTGTTCACCGTCCAATTACCCCGTATAGGTCATACACATGGCATGGCCAGGTGGCTTGGTCTCCAGGAGACTGGGGAGTGGGTTGGTGTCTGAGAATTGAAAGAAAATATTTCACTTCTGTTGCTCCCATTATAAATGTTACACAAGTAACTGATGATGCTGGTTGTCCAGGGAAAAGTTCTACCATTTGCATTTCTAAAGATCCACCAGTCAGGACCCGGGGACTTGTAATATCATGCCCAGTGAAACTCATCTCTTAGTGCTTGACATCACAGTGAAATGGAAATTGAAGAATTCAGTCAATTCCCTCCACCATCAATCCTTGGAGTGAGTAGCAATTTTGGAGGGGGCTCCTTTCCTGGTGGTTTCCTGAGTTACTAAGGACTTCTGAGCTCTCTGCCTTTTTTGTTAATCTTTGTTGGGGTAATTGCTTTCAAATTATCCATGTTATTCTACTGTATGTCTTATTTCCAGATCTGATGGGATAGTAACATATCCAGGTTTTTAGCTCAATTGAGAGTATTGAGACCATTAATTATTTTTGTGTAGTCATGTAGATCAAAACCTTGAAAAAAAGAGCTGGGTTTGTAGCTCAGTGGTAAAGCACTCGCCTAGCATGGGTGGGGCCCTGGGTTTGATTCTCAGCACCACATTATAATACATAAATAAAATAAAGCTTAAATTCTTAAAAAAACCCCAGAAGACATGAAGGAAAGGGATTAGGATTTTTTCCTATAGCTTTAGTGAGACTCAACTATAAGAAAAGCTCTATTAAAAATACACTGTGCCTTAATCAACTGTCTTTTGAAGTAGTAGTGTGAATAGCCTGGTCTGCAATGGGAAGAGAGAGGTCAGCTTGGTGTAGATTGATGTTTTGTAAGATTCTGTTCTGCACTTCCAGCATGAAGATGGGGATCCAGGAACAGATGAGTATGTGGTAAGATGAAGAAGCTAGACATGTAGAAAATAACAACATCATACAACCAAGTGGCTCAAATTCCCTGAACATCAGGCTGTAACCCATCTAAGTGGAAATTTAAAGATATGTTCTAAAACTAAACATAAATTTCTTGAAATCAGAAACCATAGGTAACTTATTTTATATTAATTTATTTCATTTGTGAGTCTAGAATGATATGCTCAATGATTTCTTGTTGAATTAATTGGGGAGATTCTCTACTGACTGCTCCTAAATTTGTTATGGATGATTGCAAGTTGATTATAGGAGGGTCTCCATAACTGGACCTGTAGACACAGATGCTGCTCAAATGTTTTTTCTGAAAGCTTGGATAGAAACATCCAGAAGCTGGCATTCTATTTGTCAGTTCTATAGCTGCAAAAGGAGTTTGATTCATTCATTCAGCACATTAATTTATAATAATATATATTTGTGTGGTACAAGGTGATGTTATGATTTATGAAAATATGTGGAATAATTCAATCAAGTAAATTAGCATATCTATTACTTTAAATATTTTTTGTGGTGAAAACATTTGAAATTTACTTTATTATAAATTTTGAAATGTATAATATACTATTATTAACAATATTCACCACACTAAGAAATAGGTCTCAAAACAAAACAAAACCCTGTTCATCCGGTCTGAGATTTTGACCATCATCTCCCCATTCCTTCCACCCTCCAGCCTCCCTAACTACCATTCTACCTTCTGCTTTTATGAGTTTGACATTTTTAGATTCAGCTTGTGAGAATACATGTGTTTGTCCCTCTATGTCCAGTTTATCTCATTTAAATGTTCTTCAATCCTATTCATGTTGATGCAAATGATGGAATTTCCTCTGTTTTAAAGGCTCAATAGTATTCCTTGGGTAGATACCACATTTTCATTATTCATTCATCTGTTAATGGGCATGTAAGTTGATTCCATAACCTGGTCATTATAAATAGTGATGCAAGGAACATGGGAATACAAATATTTCTCCTACCTGTTAATTCAAATCTTTTGTATAAATACCCAGAAGTGGATTTCTGGATCATATGATAATTCTAGTTTAAGTGTTTTAGGGGGACCTCCATATAATTTTCATAATTAAAATTCTAATTTACATTCTCACCCACAGGGTACAAGGGTTCCCTTTTCTTTACATTCTTGCCTACCCTTGTTATCTTTTGTTTTTTTGATGATAGTCCTTCTGAGAAGTATGAGATAGTGCCTCATCATGATTTTAATTTGCATTTTGCTAGTAATTAGTCATATTGAACATTTTTGCACTATCATATTTACTTATTGAGTGCCAGCTCTCGGATAGGCAGGTGTCAAGATTTATATAGGTGCCTGCCTTGAATAGTTTCATAGCCCAGTGATCTCTTTTCATTGAGTATTTATTCTTATATATGTATATTTAATTATGAATTATATCCTTGGACTACTCTATGAATATAATATCCATTATAGAACACTTATGATAGTAGCAATTTTAAAAGATAAGGTAAATATAAAACAAGTAATATTTAATTATTTCATTTATTAATAATATAAAACTATATTTGACCCCATAAGTGTAAATAATATTTAGAAGGGCAAATATTACTGAATATGGCTAATTGCATTTATAAATCTTTGTGATGAGCCAATTTAAAGGGATGGGCCTAACTTTGATTTCAGTACTTTGTTTGAATGGAAGTCAAAGCTGAAAAGGATATACACAAAGATATTTAGGTCCATATAAAAGCAGTGTGTCATTGGATGTGCTAAGCAAATTATAGAAAATCATTTAGAAATCCCTTCCATCAGTTATGCAAAGGTTTTGGTTTTCAATTTGATCTTTAAATTCCCATCTTTACTGAGGTCAACTAGTGTTGCTTGAAGATGTTGCATTTTTGTATTTTTAACACAATGAATTAAAAACCACCCAAACTCTTTATTTGGAAAAAAATTTAAAAAGCTAAAAATATCTGCTTCCACTTATTTTTCCTAATAAAAAGGCTTGTGATTTTTTTTGTGGGGTACTGGGGATCAATTCCAGGGCCTTGTGCAAATGAGGGGAGCACTCTCACTGAGCTACCTCCCTAGTCCATGAAAGTTTTTATGGGTGACACACAATGTGATTTCAACCTGTAGCCAAAACTGAGCACTGCCACTCATAACCCTTCCTCCTCCAGTGGGGTTGTGATTGGGGTCAGGACTGAATGCTGAAAAAGAGATTTCAGTTGTGAATTATTCATCAGCATCTCCTAACTCTGGGATTTGGTTAAAAATGTCTTTCAGAGGGAGAAGAAATACGATTGACATGCTGCTGGGGACTGAACCCAGGGCTTTGCATGTGCTAGGCAAGTTTTCTGCATTGAACTAAATTCTTAGTCCACGTGATCTATATGAATTTACCAAGATAATTCTAGATAGGTATTTCTCTTTATTCTGAAAGGGATTATTTTCCCTACCTCCCCAAATGACTCAGACTTATATTTCTATGTTTTTCCTTTTCAATTGAAATCTACAAACCATTTTACTAAACCAAAATAGCATAAGCCTTTGTGTATAGCCAACAAAGGAGCCCAGGGCCTTGGGGGAAAGATGCATTAAAAAATGCCTAAACTCCATGGCAAACCTGATTTGTAAAGAAGTACTTTCTTTCTGCCTCAGGAAGTAAGTCAGGATAAAAATTTTTGAAAGTTGCAACATTGTGCTCTGTTCACCCCTTGGGGAACAGTGACTTTCTGGCCTGTGTGTATTTTTTTTAAAATTTTTATTGTTGGTTGTTCAAAACATTACATAGTTCTTGATATATCATATTTCACACTTTGATTCAAATGGGTTATGAACTCCCATTTTTACCCCGTATACAGATTGCAGAATCACATCATTTACACATCTATTGATTTACATATTGCCATACTTGTGTCTGTTGTATTCTGCTGCCTTTCCTATCCTCTACTATCCCCCCTCCCCTCCCCTCCCCTCCCCTCTTCTCTCTCTACCCCCTCTACTGTAATTCATTTCTCCCCCTTGTATTTTTTTCCCTTTCCCCTCACTTCCTCTTGTATGTACTTTTGTGTAACCCTGAGGGTCTCCTTCCATTTCCATGCAATTT